CTGTGACAAAAATCTGTTCCACTGATAATAATTAAGCACATAGTTAAGACAGCAAATTACATAACAGCCAAAGTATTTAACCTATAGGATCAACGTTTCCTGAAATCAAAAGACATCAAAATCACGGCACAGGGCACTCAAGTTTGATGGGATGTTCTGAGAGATCTAAAACCAACCTCAGGACCTCACTGGACAAGGCCAGAGGTAAAGGTAAAACTTTTGACAGTAGCTGCGTAAGTGCTAAGGTTGATGAAGCTGACCTGAGGACATAATCTTATTCTAATGCTACCTAGAATCATGGGGTGGGTGCTGATAGGTCCTAGAATCCAGTAACTATTACCAGATTATCTTAAGATATCTGAAGGGGGCCTACAAGGATGCTGGAGAGGGACTCTTCATCAGGGACTGTACAGACAAGACAAGGGGGAATGGGTTTAAACTTTAAGAGGGAAAGTTCAGGTTAGACGTAAGTTCTTTACTGTGAGGGTGGTGAAGCACTGGAACAGGTTGCCCAAAGAAGTGGTAAATGCTCTATCTCTGGCGGTGTTCAAGACCAGGCTGGACAGTCTTAGGCGTTCCTGCCCATGGCAGGGGGGCTGGAGCTAGATGATCTTAAGGTTGTTTCCAACCCTAACTATTCTATGATTCTATGACATGGTTTAGTGTGAGATGTCCCTGTCCATGGCAGGGGGTTGGAACTGAATGATCTCAAGGTCCTTTCCAACCCAAACCATTCTATGATTATACAATTCTATGACAAAGAAACTAAGGTAAACTCAGGAACTCAGACATAGGTGTGCTGAATCCTAAAGGAGAATGAATCCTGATCCTTAATGAGAGCAGTGATTTTACATATGGTAGTACAAAAACTATAAAATACAGAACAGCTGCTTCTGATGGTATTTAAATTGGGTTACATGAACATAACGGAATGTAAAATATTAGAAAATCATTTCTAAATTAATGATTTACTGTACACTACAAAGACAGATGAGGTGGCTTAATTAAAAAATAACCAGGGCTCACATTTTCAACAACCGTCTCCAACTAATTGTCACTATTCTTTCCCTGCTTGGGACAGGGAAGCTCTAATCCCTGACAACTGATTTCAGTGAAAATTATAATGATTAATTCTAAATGCTAAATGTTTAATTAAAATTACTGATACGTGTTAGCAATTTTATTAACAACTGAACTGGCAGATTTGAGTGGAGAGTTAGTGGAGGGTGGTTGATAAGCTGCTGTGCATGGTAAATTCTCCTCAGGCAGCACAACTGCAGCCTGGAGGACAAATATACACAATGCGTCACAGCATCTCCCACACATTAAACAAAGTGAGTTGCTATATGAAGTTTATGAACACACTTCTGTGGGAGCTTCGCTGCAATGTGCCTTTGAGGTAAGTCATAATGAATAACAGTGATTTTTAAACATTACAGATCTTAAGAATGCACATAAATTTCTGCTATTGTCTGCAAAACTATATCTAGTTCAAAATGGCTTTTATCACTCATAACTCTATAAATTCAGACACTTAAAGCTTCCATGTATGTAGAAAACCTTGTTAGGAATAAAAAAAAAAAAAAAAAAAAAATCAAGAAAAATTGTGGTCAATAATACAATTCTATTTGCTAAAATAAATAGTAATTAAAAAAACCAGAAGGACATGCCCCTGCACGAGAAGGAAAGTCACTTCATTCTGATCATCCCCCTCCTCTGAGCAAGAGATGCAGTTTTACCCATAGTTTGAGCTACAAGATTTGCCCACTGGAATAAAAAAAGTGCATTAAGAATATATACAAAGTACTGGAAGCCATATGCACCTTTTCTCATGCTAAGCAGATAAAGCATTTATATGATGCTATAAACCCACTTTCTCATGTATTACTCATCTGGTCTGTACTTGTTCTGTATCACATTACCACATCTCCAAGTGGGAGGCATGAGAGGCAAAACACAAACTATGAAGAAGTGCATCCAGTAGAAAACCCCAAAATTGTATGTGAGAATCTAACACAAAAAGGAATCAACTGAAAATGCACGCATAAAATATGTGCCCATCAATTGGTTTACATAGCCGGCATCCCTTCCCTTCCTCCAACAAAAGGCAACAAACTACGGAAAGATACTACCGATTCAAACAACATGAAGAAGCTATTAAAACACACTGCACTTCCTCTTCCAAACCACATTATCTTTTTCCTAGTCTAATGAAGAATATTGTATGGTAATTAAATAAACATTTAAAAGCATCTCATGGAGCTATTAATATATTCACTGAAAACAAAAAGCTGTTCCAAAAAATCAAACACTACAACTAAAGGCTGCAAATGCCACTGAACTTGTTTCCATTATACAACACAACCATGGCCAATATTCTTTAGAGATTTGCTAGAGTAATTCATTAACTTATTAAGGTCCGATGCAAAAGCTATTAAGGTCAGCTGAAAGAGATGTTTTGAAAAGGTCTTCAGTTACACATTTTTACTGTAAGATGCAAACCTGGGAGTGCTGAGCAATACCGACCTACTTAGAATTCTTATATCAGGAACCACTAATAAACTGCATTACCATACAGAGAGTCATCAATAGACCTAATTTTTGTCAGCATTTTGACCGAGTAGTAACATCTTCTATTTTTCTGAATCATATTTTGAGGATGCTGTCTGGTACTTAACTGAAATAAATTCCTGTATAACCTGTACATGCTATTCTGTTTGACTGTCTGGTTACATTGACAGCACTTGCTTTACTGTTAACAGCATTTTGTAAACCCTAGAGGAAGGAATGGAAATAGTATCCCTAAACATCACAAGCTTCTAAACCCCATTTTTTTTTAATTATAGAACATTCAAATGTCTGCACACCACAAGTGAAACAGGAGTGACTCCAGGAATGGGTATGGTATTCCTTGGACAAACAAAGCACAGTGTTAGGCTATATGATGAAAGGCCAGTCACAGTGAATACACAGAGCAAGGAGCAGAAGAACCCCTGTAACCTCATCAGCAAGAACTGGAGCACAATGAGCTGCATCTAAGATGATGAAGGTGAACAATCAGAGCAGTGTCCCTTTGTGAAACCCACTGAGTCAGGAAAAGCAACTACGAGTGAGGCGAAAGCATATCGGGATATACAGCTTTTGTTTGTAAATAGGGTTGTGTGTCTTTTTGAGACACACCATCTTTTTTGAGATGGCATCACACCTTCTGCCTCTGCCTTCCCAACACTGGACACTTTAAAGATTCGGCTGGACAGGGTGCTGGGACATCTAGTTTGGGTCATGCTTTGCCTAGAAAAGTTGGACCAGATGATCCATGAGGCCCCTTCCAACCTGGTATTCTATGATTCATGATTTAAAGGTCCTTTACAGTTTGATCCTGGACTTCAGCTTGATCCTACTACCTAGTATCAACAATTCCCAATAAGCTCATAGTGGTTCCACATGTGTCTATGTACAGTGACTAAAAATTGAAACTTGAAAACAAAAAGGGTATGACACTTAAACGAACATTCAAGTATGTACATTTAGAAAGAAAACATATCTACAATACTATATTCAAACATTACACACCATAGTTAAATAAAGTTAGGAATACACAGTCTTTCCCCTACAGCAATACATTAATTAAAAAGTCAATAAGAAAACAGATTTGTTGACTTTTGGTTTTCTTTTTTGAGTACTGTAATACAGGCAGAATTTGATGATCTCATCCAATTGAAATAGGAAAATAATTCAATTCTAGCTGATAATGAGAAAAAACCCATCTGCTGAATTGCATGGTCAAGACAGCTCTGACAGTTTGGTTCATTATTCTGAACTTCTGAAACTAAAGCTTGTTTTTTTTCAGTAAGCAACAGATAATCTGTGGGCTACCTGGAAGCTGATACAAGGTTTCCTGGCTACTATCCAAAGTGAAGCAAACAAATTCTGAAAGAGTTGTACTAACGTATAAACAATTATAAATGCCCAAATCAGCTTCTCTACTTTCATCTTTCCAATAGCATCTGCAGTCTGTGAACAAAGTAGCAAAGCTTTCTCCTTCTTCAAAACGGCATGTGAGAATTGAGAGCTTTACTCAAAGGAGCTGAACCACTGACTTAGAAAAGCTGCTTAAAAAACAAACACAAGAAAAATAATAGTCCAGCCCTTGCTTGCTGACAGGTGAGATAATAACCATTTCTGGTAGTACAGGGAACTTGCAGATAGACTGGCATTTCAATAGAAGGAAAAACCACACCAGTCTGCATGGCTCCCTTAAAACAAAAGCCTTTCAAGTTCATGACCAACATTTCAGTTAGCCTTTAAGTAGGAAAGAGCCACAACAAATCATACTGGGGTATGACACCTGACAGGTGCCAGGAACAGTGGTGATTAGAACAGACTATAGAAAAATTCTTTCACTACTGTGCATCATAACGTATGTGAAAATACGATCTTCAAACTTAAAATCACCTTCTCAGAACTGCTCCTCATGACCGGAGCAGAGAGCCTAATCCAATTGCCACTTCAGCATTGAGGAAACTCTTCAAGCAGAAAACTTGCACTCCCTCCTGTATTCCTACTACCTACTATGGCAAACTGAAGTAATGTTACTTGCAAAACATTACCAACCAAAGGAAGAATTTTGTAATGCAGTTTTAAAGCACCTTACTCAAATATTAGGTTTTCTAGCAAAAAGAACATTAATGCAAACAATCCACTACTATACAGTTCTGGTTCAGTGGCCACTATTACAAATGCAAGGACTAACAGTGACTTCAAAAGACTCTGAATCAGACTTCAAGAGTATAATATTCTCCCTAATATTATGTATTTGCAAGACAAAAGTCTTCAGAGAAGTCTTTATAGCGAAATCATAAAAGTAGTAAAATGATTCACCCTGCTTGAAATAGCTGACATTTCATTTTTGCAGTTCAGATATTCAAACTTTATCTCCCACTTATTATAAAATGTAAATTGGTATGTATCAGAAAAACTCCAGCATGGTTCCGTGGGGGTTTTCTTTATATATATACACATAAGAGAGGCACATTCTTTGTTAGAAATCAGCAGGAAATTCTTCTGTAGGAACTTGAACACTTCCCTTTCACAGAAATTTTTCCATGAACTATGCTCTTCACATAAGGCAGTCGTATGTAGTTAAGCAAAACACTCATTTTGCATAAAATTAGAACCACAATTAGCTTATGATGTATTTTCAAAATACATGTGTCATCAATTCCATTACAGAAAAATAAGCAAGATACCTCTTTTACAGCGTGGAGAAAGAAACTATTCATTTTGACATTCTATTAAAATTTAATAAGGGCACAAATGGAACTTGTAACTTGTTAGTACAAAATGATCTAGCTCTTCTAACAGTATATACAGTGCAAAGACTTTCTTACAGTAACATCACAAAGTAACACCAGGTCTTTCAAAGAGACTCTAGCAATTGTTGCTCATTGCTTAGAATGGCATATATCCAACATATTCACAACTGGCAACAGAGCTAGAGTATTACAATTTTATTGCTGCTACTGTAATGAAAAGAAGTGAGGTTGTGATGATTAATTTTCACGTTAAGTTGTAGGGAACGGTTAATTCATTTATCAAGTTTATTATTTCTTAGCTTTGTCATAAGCTCCAAGAAAATCAGAGAAAAGTTACCTATTTGCATTTTCTCCTATAGAAATGGTGGATACCAAAATAAAGTATGAAATTAGCTGGCTTCAGGTTAGTTACTTAAAAATGTGTGTATCAGTTCAACTTGAATCAAGCTGCCTTGGTTTGCACTAGCTATATGGAAAGGCTGATTGAATGAGACTCCTTTCATCATACAGGCACTGCTACCTTTGTTGCAATAGTAGAGGCACACTTTGATAGCCAGGATAGCTTCAGCTGATAGACAGCTCCCTGGTAACTGAAAGGGAATTACAGTTTGACAGGAAACATCCTTTATTTCTCCAGACAGAAGCTGTCCTTGAAGCAACCAGGTATTATCTGTAAAAGAACAAGAAGTTTTATGATTAAGTTATTTAACACTATGTCTGAAACCTACAGAACATATTAATTTTACCTATAAGACAACATGGACTTCCCATACGCAACATTAGGACAAATTTTCCTCATGATTCTTCCAGTTGTGGGCAATAATAGGAAAGTAATTTACAAATGCTTCTAGCAGTCATTTAAGGATGGAGAGATAGATAGCTCTGCTTCAGAACTATAAATATACATATAGTAGAATCACAGAATAGTTAGGGTTACAAAGGACCTTAAAATCATCTAGTAGATCTTACTTAAAGGCACTGGATCTATAATTTCTCCTATATGTTCTTCAGAGGATATTAAAATTTATTCTGAGATATGCAAGCAAAACTCCTTAAATTAACAAGTTTCTATACATCTGTATCAAATACTCCAGGCAAGATATCTGCCATACATGCATAAAACTGCAGGTAAATGATGGCATTTCCAAACAGAAGTGTTAGTTTTATGAGTGGGTTGCTGCAATTTAGCAGTGTTCAGGCTGTTACAACAGACTTTGAGTTTCACATTTATTTAAATATGTAAGAGTACGTGAGCTGAAAAATGAACTGCACAATAAATGTACCTAGCTCCTTGCATTGTACTCTGTATTTTACTGTGAGTGAGATGGATGAAGTGCTCTTTTTGGCATTTTTCAGAAAATACCTAGAAGTTGGCTCTAGGATTTATGAGCTTGAAATGACTTGCTGAGGTTAGGTTGCTTATAGTCTCCAATTTTACTAGCACTTGAAACAATCACATGTATCTTTGCTTCAACAACATTTGGAGATTCTCTAGGCCAAAAAGTGCCGACTCTCCTGGAAATAGACTATTTGTACTCCAAAAGCACAAACTGGGATGAGAAAATACTTTAAATCATAAGGCACATAAACAAATTGTAGTGCCTGTACAGTATTTTTAACTGCTTTTAAATACAAAAATATCAATTATAACAAAGTAGGTTTAATGTGGTTAGGTATAAATGAACCTCAAATACTTTTTTGGAGGAGACAAAAGCACAGAAAAGGAATCTCTTCCAGGAGTATGCTACAGCTTCAAGGTGAGCTTTCTGAAACAGGCAGTAGGGCTGGGATAAGCTATTCATAGACACAAAGTGGAGTGAGGGCAAGCCCTCACTGGCAGCTTATTCCAAGAAAGTAAAAGCAAATAAAGATAATGCAGCAGGTATTAATTCAAGCAAAAGACAGCTTATCAGGTGCTTTGGGTTTTTATAATCTTCACACTCCAGCTGTTAAATATATCAACTCTAAATAACATGTATTGCATCACAAGGTCAAACAGGAACACAGGACTGGGAGGGACATTCAGATTCATCAGGCTGAGATCCTTGTACTGCAGGCGCATCATGATATAACCTACTTTGTGTCACACCTACTCCTGTACAACTAATAAAAGAACACAGGCACTTTACCTTCTGCCGTGATGAACCAGTAGTTGGGTGCTTCTTCATTCAGTTTTGAATCTGGAGGAAGAGTCAACTTTAATAAAAACTTAATTGTCTGGCCAGGAGCTACTGTTAGTGAAGGAAGTTGAACATTTGGTGCAGATTTAGGCAGCTTTGGAAGGCTTGTCATTCTCTCCCTTTGCACAGGCAGGTTATCTGGAACATCGCCTGCTTCTGGATCCAGGATAGGCAACTATCAGTGGAAATCAAACAAAGTATTTATTTGTACTGAAAGCAAAGAGGCTTTCACAATGCAATCACAGTTTAAGCTGACATGGACTAGGAAAACCAACACATGATAATACGGCTACTGGACTAAAACTTTCTGACTCTAACAATCCTATATCAACAAAGACAAGGACAAAATGCTTTCTGAAAACTAGTATTAAATCCACAAAATTAAAAACTAGTATTAAATCCACAAAAAAAAACTAATATTGAAAGCTTAGTATTAAATACACAACTACTTTAGAGCCTCCTTTAATTTAACAGTTGAATTGTAGTTTTACTTTAAATAAAATTTATAGGTATTTTCTTCTAATCTGGTGGTAAACTGCATGCTTCAGTAATGAAATCCAAGATTTTTGCCATGCAGACTGCACAGTAAGGGATAATTTCCCCCAAAAGCCATCAACACATTATATGCTAGAATTTAAATGCACATTAAGATCTGTATTATTAAATGCAAGAAACACACAAGATGACAGTTGAACCATTATGTCTCATACAGATACATGTTTACATGAAAACATTAAGACACAGTGCCATTGTAAGATGAATAGGAACGCGAATTTGTTTTGCCTTCATGTTTATATGCAAATACAGCACGGCTCAATTATGACAGTGGTTTGACTTGACAACTTGGAAGCCTGCTTCAAGTCACTGACCCCCAAAAATCATCCCCTTCAGCTTAATTACAGGACTTAGTGATTGATTTCAACCTCCACTTGTTACAAAGTGCTCATGAAATCCTTCTCATACTGAAAAACTGGGCTATATTTTTTAATACCACACATTTCTGCACTGATCTTTTCTAGAGGGTCAGTTTCTGTTTTCATGCAAAAAATGTCTTTCCAAAGACTAAGCTTTCAACAACTGTGCTATCTTAACAACAGGCTATCTTTATTTGTCAGCTCATCACAAAACATTCTGTGAATATAGCTACTGTATGCTACATGATTTTTATACTACTTGCTAAAACCTGCAATAGCCATTTGTATCAAGAAACACCACTATCAGACTGTCAAATAAGTATTACTTGCCATGGAAAGAATTCTTGTTTTCAAATCCAGCACTTTAATCTGATGATTATTTGTGTCTGCAACATACATCAAGCGGCCATTTTCTTCAACACACAAACCTCCTGGTTCATTAAATGTTGACTGTGTAAAGCTGGAACCAATGACGTTGCTTGCTTCTCCCGTGCCTGCCAGTGTAGCACAGTTCTTCATCTTGGGATCTACAACCTTAATCTAGAATAAAAACAGAAAAAAAAACTTTTCTGAAAAAAACCCCACCAGGATTTAGTTTTGCATTATCTTATGCCCCACATTTTCAGAAGCCAGCATTAACTTTCAGTACCAACAGTGTCCCCTAGAAGCTAAATTATCATACTTTATCAAATGACATGTCCCATCACCTTGACCCCAGTTCCCTGCTGGACTCTACTTCTTCTTTGGTCTTCACTGAGTGCTCCCTTTCATAATATCAAAAGCAAATAATCCCCTGCTATAAAAGTACGCTGAATGGCGCGTTCTTCCAAGGTGTACTGCCTTTCTGGAATCATTTCCACAAGAGTAAGGACATAACAAAACTGGCATGCTATTTTTTGACCCCTAAAAATAGGTGATTTTTTTCCTTAAAACAATAGCAAAAAAGTTAATAATGCTTTATACAACACCTGAAACAAAAATTCATTTGCCATGTCATTTTCAATAAGCATTCAGGGTTACATACTTTATTCTTCAAATTAAACCAGATCACTTTTCTTTCAATGCATTTAATGAATACACAGTTAACCTGTCATGGTTTAAGGACACAACCTTCTAAGCATGAAAGCTTATACAACACCGCATAAGAACAATCACGCAAAACAATCTCGATTATCTCAGAGTTCCACGGAGGCAACCCACAATACATCTTCTCAAAACTTGGCTGGCTTTCTTAAGGGAAAAGCAAGTCCTCTCGCTCTGGTTTTATCAAACCTGCAGTATTCCTGACTAAGCACTTCTAGTTCTTTTCCTCTAGGTCAGCATCTTCAGGAGGAGGTATGTAAAGGGTCTTTGGTCCAAACTGTAACTTGAAATTCACCTTCCCCAAGAGACCATCATATCAATACAAAAGCATGTGACAGCAAAATGATGGTAAAGAGAGGAACCCACAAGTGAAGGAAGAAAAGAAAAAGAACCCCCAAAGCAACTCATATTCATATTGTATGAGGCATTTCTGCCCATGGCAGGGGATTGGAACTAGATGATCTTAAGGTCCTTTCCAACCCAAACCATTCCATGATTCTATGACTTGTTTCCTCAGCTTAACTGAACCAAGCACAATCTTTGTATGTTCCTAAAATAATCCTTTGTACTGTTAAAAACACGAGCTCCTAATATGCTTACCTTATGATTGTAGGAATCTGCCACATACAACAGTTTTCTTTTCTTGTCCCATGTTACTCCTAAGGGATGCTGCAGCTTTGCATTTATGCCTGCTCCATCCACATCACCAAAGGCAAACAAGTTCTAAAAGAGCGTTATTTTATTAAATTAATACATTTGCTTACTCAACATTGACATGATTTAAATGATTGTAATTAAATGGAAATCCACTGACTTAAAAAAAAAATATCAAGACAACTTTAAAACAAGGATACTGAAAGCTGGGAAGTGTGGATGCTAACCATGAAAATGGAAACTCTCACATTTAAATTTGCAGTATGAATGCAGCTGGCTTTAGTGACCACACAATGCTGAACTGAGTTGGCTATTTAAAAATAAGTGATTTGTTATCTGAGGAGCATCAATCTGCACTACAACCTGAGTGTCACAACTGGCACACATTTGCATTCCAAGCAGTGAAGTTAAGAAATTGATGGCCATGGAAACTGATGTACCCTCTCACCCCAAAAGTGGGTCCTCCAGGTCAGGCTTGAGGAATATTAGTAGGGCAGTGTAGGGAAGTTTGAAGTGATTACCAATGGATCTCTCTCTCCTCCTACAAGGTGCTTCACTGCTCCATCTTTCAGGGAGATGGTTCGCACAGTGCTGCTCTCGCTGTCTGCTACAAAAACGCAGTTCCATGGTTCCTCGGAAGCCAGAGAGAGACCAGAAGGCTGTGCAAAGCCTGCCTTATGTGGGTATGCATTGTTTCTGTTCTCCTCATTCCCACTTCCAGCGAATCGAAGGCAGACTCCTTTCTTTAAATCACTAGAGGAAAACAGTACCCAAGATCAGGAATGAGTCTGAACTACTTCAGACGTTATGCATAAACAGAAGCTACAGGACAAGCACTTGTGAGTTATGAAACCAACTTTACTGCAGCACAGGGAATTATTCAATGCCTTTATGCTAACTTGTATTTCATCTCAGTATATCATTCCTCACTAGATAATTCAGCAAATGCAATGAAAAGTACCATTCAATTATATGAATGTATTCTACCAAGTCATAGTTTCATAGCAAAAGTAGCATCTTTAATTCCATCTAGCAGATGTGGGGAAAAAACAGGCAGACTTTAAAGGCCACACAACTTTTAAGTCTAAACAGAAGCAGCAAGCTTCAAGCTACGCACAGTCAAGAAAAATTACTTTTAATTTGATTATCTCTCTCTTTGGGGTTTGAAAGCTGTTTATCAAGACAAACAGCAGATTCACCTGTCTCTTATTAGTTGCTTACCTTCCTTTTGGTAGTTTTCCATCTTCCAGCATCAGTGCCCATATCTGGTGAGTGCCTGCCATTGCTATCCATAAAACATCATCTTCCTGGGTCCCTGAAACTTTAAAATGGATATGTAAAAATGGAGAAAAAAAATCCAACAAACACTTTGGGAATGCTTTGTAAGACAAATCAACAAATCAATCCTGCTATCCCCTCTACTCCAGCTCTCCTTTTCCCATGGGAAAGATTAAAAAAAACACCCTCAACCAAAAAAAAAGAGCAAGAGAAGGAGAGAAAATGTCATTCTATCACAAATTCTACTTTATTTCTGCTCTCTTTCCAAGATATAAAAATAATATTTTTAATATCCCTACCTACAGACAATACTTCAAATGGGATTTGCTCTTCACAACATTTTGCTATTGAGTCCATGTTTCACCTACGATTTTTGGATTCATACTAGCCAACAAATATGTACTTATCTTTGCTAAGCATGGTTTGGGCAGTGGGGGATATATGTTTTGGGTTTTTTTACTATGTTAGTCAGAAAATTAGATATTCCAAAAAGCTACTGGCAGTTGTTTACAGGCTTGGAGAGAAATAACTGTGGCAGTACATTACATACAGAGTACATAACATTTTTAAGATAAGGGTAACTGATGCTTGTGCGTCATGTAGATTTACGCTCTGGAGCACAACTGCTGCTGTCTATTCAAACATTAGATGTGATGTGGGCAATTACTCATTTCCCCTTCCACTGTCCATCCAGTTTCCAAGTTGTTCTCCCTATGCACATGTGCAGGTATTACCACAAATACAAGACACAGATTTGTGCAACAGTGACCTTTTATCAAGAAGTGTTCAACTATGCTTCAAGCAGCTATTTTTTTCAACTCAAAGTATAAAAGTAGTATTCACCAATCCAAATCTATAAATTACATTAAGCTTGCCCAGATAATACTTCACAAATGATACAAAAGGAAAGTGAAGAACACTGTAAGTGCTCTATAGCTTTAAACACAACACATTACAGTATAAGGAAGAATACATGAAGACAAATTGTGAAAGAGCATTAAAAACCAAGAAACCCCAAAGAAATTTACTTATCTTAGCCTCTTCTGAAAAGGAACAGAAAGTTGACATTTAAAAACTGCATTAAAATGCGGACACTTATCTTTCTAAGTGTAGACAGTGTATTAGCCTACACACACTGTATACAATTGTCTGGTCTAGTCAGAGACAAGATACGTTCATTTCTGAATAAATGTATCAGGTATTGGAATAACTATTAGCCACTCAAAAACACCTTCAAATTGCTCACAGAAACTTTATTCACGTGAACTTTTAAAACATCTCATAGGCATTTATGCAAATAATCTAGTGGATACCTCCCCCCCCCACCACCCTATTTTGGGAGCTTCAAAATAAAAGCAATTCTATGTAATACACTTGCCAGCGTTTTAAACCTGAGAAGTTAGTCCAAATCAATCTTCCTAAAATGAAATTACCACCATTCCCCCAACAGAGATCCTGCTGTTTTTCTTTTAATCCTAAACCTTTCTCACTTCACACACTGCAAGAGGGGAAAAAACCATCCTTCTTTCCCCAGAATTAATTTCCTCATACTGTGAGCTCTCTTCAGAATAGTACTGGTATGATTTTAACACTGTTTATCTTTAGCCCTTTCTATTCCCTGGATCAAGACACAAGTTTCTAAGACTGTGGACAAAGGAACCTGTTGACTCTCTCCTGCACCTATACGTGGCTCCATTTTTTATATAAACTAGAGCTCCAAGAATAAAACTCCAACTTCCAAAGCATCTAAAAGTTTTTTGTTGAGCAGAAAGGTTTGCAAAATGTGTTGGAAACACACATTTTATGAGTCAGTCACCACAGATGTTACTGAAGTCCTGGGGATGTCAAAACCAACCCAATAAAAAAACAAAACCAAAACACGCACCCCCTCACAGTACCACCTTTGATTAGGGGCTGTTTCTAAGAGATCTAAATTGAGAAGATGGCCTACGAAATCATTTCACTACTTCCTATATAGTACATGTTCAACTTCAACATTTTATGTCTCCATGATGCACGCCTTGCACTCTTCAGATGCTACTATTTCAAGCATCACAGAATGAATAATGCTAAAATCACTAGTCAATTCAGAAAGTGAGTTTTTAATCTTGCTATGCTGTTCAGTTCATTATGAGGGATGTCAAAAAGTGCTTTGTTAATTATTTAATATTCACTTCACCCACCAAAGAAACAAAGGAGTAAGGCCTGAACTGAGCACTTTAGAAAGATCTATTCTATTCATCTATCCGAGTCTCTAATTCCATCCACTGAAAACTCCCTTGTGACAGCTATACGTTGAAAAATGGAAAAGGTTTCTTACTTTAGTTCTGCACACTAAAAAGCTTAAATATGAGGCATAGCAAGAAAGTATCAATATTAATTCCAAACTTTACTGAAAATGGAAGATCAATAGAGAGAAAATCATTTCTTCAACTAGAGAACAAGGCAGTAAAAATAAGAGCTCCATAACCATAACAGATTTTAATGCAACTTAAGTATTTTCTTCTGGCTGGCCATTAGAACAAAGAGAACAGATGCAAACATGGAAACAGCACAAGCGTAGTGACTTGTGGGAAATATGTCAGGACTTTAATAAAAAAAATTATACAAACCCAAAAAACAATGCCTGTAGTTCCACAGCTAAGGTATTTTATCACGCAATGGGCCTGACAGAGTTTAATGCGCTATGTTCTGAAGCATAAGACAGAAAAGCCTCTTCTTTCAGGATACAACACTTCGGGGACATGCCACCACTGTCATCCTTGCACTGTTCTCACAGGAGAAGTGGGCCAGCATCCTAAAATTATGCTAGTGCCATCATTATCATAACTCCTTATCATCCTTGAATGGAAAGAATTTATTTTTAAAGAATTTATTATAAAACAACATAAAAGAACAAAGCAATTATTTTACATTCATTCAATTAAGCATCACATTCCAAACTATCTTGAGCTGTTTCAAAAATCCAGTGTAGTTTCTCCTTATTAGGGTATGTGCTTTCTTATCTTTAGTGCTGCCCCTATCAAAGTATGGCTTGCAAATGTGACATACTTATGTTATAAAGATTCACTAATAATGAACTAGGCCTTCCATATTATACAACACTTCAGTTATTACACAACAATTCAGTCCTTCAGTCTATGTATCTGTTGTAAGACTTAACAGACCTATACACAACTTTAAACAGTTCATTAACACTGCTGACCGTTAACTGTGAGTCAATCGGGACACACAGAAAAGAGTTTATTTCACAACAGCCAAAGGCAGTATCTGTTCGAAGAGATTCCATTCCCAGGACTATCCACTCTTCCAGCTTCCCTGGCTGGGGACTGCATGCTTACTTCCAGTCTGGGAATTAAAAGCCTGGGAATCAGTTAGATTTTGCGGTTGGCACCACTGACATTTTCTAAATAGACTGATGTTTGAAAATATTATTCTTGTCTACTAACTATAAAAAAAAAAATAACAAGGAAGAAGTCTGTTGGTACACTCATCCTCTGCAAAATCACAAGTGGCAAAAAGGGCTCCACAAAACACCTTCCAGTTTACAGACAGGCACACTGCCTATGTGAATTTGTGAGTGCAAGTCGCGCCTACGCTACAAATCTGACTGACAGAACAACTACAGAATTGTTCTTCAGTGAGACAGAGATAGCAAAGCCCCAAAGGAATGCTTGAGCGCTGTCAGTCTGGACTGTTACAAGTACACATCATCCTTTTTGGAGGAGTAAAAATTCATTTTCTTCTTTTTCCTGCACTCCCTCTTTCACATAGTGTTCCATCATGCAAACAGCATTACCCTTTATGAAACAAAATGCTTCTGGAGTTTTCCTCCTGAGTTAATATACCTGCCTTCTCATCAGGGGTAATCCCCAGACACAGTAGATGCCAAGGGGATGTCATACAATGGGAAGTAACAGGGAGCTAAAAATGGTTACTGTAATTAAATATTTTCTCTTTCTAACTCTGGCCTTCTGACAGTAATGTCAGTAAATACTTCAGAAAAAAATCCAAAGTAGAAATGACAGTATCTGTTAACATGAAAGAATGGATTTAGATTATTTAGTGTTGGGATACATCACTGTAAGTACAGACAAAGCTAAGTCTGGTTATGCATTTTATTCATTCCTACTTAAGCACAGCAAACATGTACACATGAGGGTACTTCAATACTGCAGTCTCCCGTGATCCCCAACACACACATTCCGTATTCAAAAGCTCTTCCAGCATCAAACGAGAACAGTTAAAAACTGTGTCTCATTCTGAGCCCTGCATGTCTCTGTAAGACTTGTAAAGGATGTTTATTGACAGCAGCCCTGCATCTGGAATTTTGCATTAAAACCAGTATCTGATACCTCAACTAATATTCAGAATCCTGATTTGTAGTTTTAACTTCTTTATCATGAGCACAGATTTAATTCAAGACCTACAGACTGTAGAACAAAGAGAATGAGAAATCATGATTTCAAGTACAAATAACATAACTGAGGACAGTTTCAAGTTATGGACTTCAAAATGTTACCAAGTTTGACATCTGTTAAGATGGTAACTGCTAATTCAATTTTTTGTTTTTACTGCAGAAAGTAATCATCACCATCCATTCTGTCAAGATGTAGAGAAGTCCAATTTACTAGAAGAGTAATCTGTCAAACTAAATTGTGTGGGATTACTGTTGGATATTCAGTCACAACTCTCATTACATCCTTCTGTTAAGACTTTAGTCTTCATATGTTTCTGTCAAAGGCATGTTTATAGTAAATTACTAACATAAATAACTAATTTCTTGACCTAATCCTATAGCAAACATGTGAAATAATAATAACTTCTGTTGCTATTGCTATTTGGAAAGACAATAAACTCCTTCATTGCTCAGCTTTGGCTTAGAATTACAGAATTTGAGCATCCAGTCAACAGTTTAACAAGAACAAGGCTCCTGTAGAGATAAAATCTGTTGGGCTGATTGCACAAAGAGCTACTAGTTCTGAAAGTTTATCCCTCCTCAGTTTTCTCTCAAATGTTTAAAGCAAAAAATGCCTGGTTAGG